AGTACTTTACAGCTTGACAAATTAAAGCAAAGCATTCGTTTGACTCCTGAATTGTGCAGCTAATAATGCCAGCTCCATTTGGAGAGCCAGAACAATACTGACATTTTCTTTAATCATTGTTGTGCTGTATGATGAGCATGGTTTCCCACTGTCCTTTATCACTGATTCGTTGTCAGTGAAAACTTTTCAACTCTCTTATTTCCCATTTGGGAGACGGTGCAGCCTCAGTGCACCACCCCCTCCCCAATCTTCTTATATGAAAAGCTATTTGGGAAATTATAAAAGCAACCTTTGGGCACTAGGCCAACGTAGAAGTAATTTTGTGGTTGTCAGTGTTCAAAACCTTTGAAGAGATCAAAGTCTGAAATTTGTTGAACAGTATTCCACAAGATTTCTGTGTTGGAAATATGTGGATCCATTTTTCTTTTTCAAGTAAGTGTTTATAAAGTGAAATTTGAAACTAGGTCTTTGTAAACTTTAGCTAGCACCTGAACTCTGGCCTGTTAATCGGGAAATGGTACCCCGAGTCTCAAGGCTGAAGGTAATCGTTAAATCTGGAACAATTTTGGAATTAAGTCATAATCAGGGAATAGCCATTATTTACAAATTATAATGAGGTGCTTTTATATAGGGTGTCTTGTAGGTCCTGATTTTTCTGGGACAATTGTGATTTAATGCCTGCTTGGCTCAGATGAGAAATGTCCCAGCTAGATGGATGGAGATATATATATATATATATACTATATACAATTGTAACCCTATTATATATGTGTGTGTGTATATATATGTATATATATGTATACGAAATATATATATATATGAAATAGGGTTACGATTGTAAAACTGTATACAATTGTAACCCTATTTTATATATATGTGTGTATGTATATGTATATATATGTATATGAAATATATATATATGAAATAGGGTTACGATTGTAAAACTATATACAATCGTAACCCTATTTTTAAGTTTGCCAGCTGTAACATAAGGTGATGTATACTGTATTAGGGAAGATTAGGAATGATATTGTAATCTCAGCATTTGAGTTTACTTTGAAGTCTGGTGAAAACATTACTGTTTTGTGCCAATGTAATAGATGAGATAACGTGAAATAAGGCTAGCAAATGCCATCTGTAACTCAAATGCACTTGCTTTTCTCTCTATAATTAGATAGAAATCTCGGGCAGATTTTATTTGTTCTCTCCTAAAAGAAAAAAAAAGAACTTTTGGTGTAGAAGACTCCAGAGAAAATCGGGCCTGTCGATCACTTTAAAAGACCAAGTATTCATGTTGAAAATGAGAGCCATTTTATTTTGTGGTGAGGTGAGAGAGTTAAATCAGCAAACTCTGTTTATTAAAGTGAATGTTAAGAGAGAATTTACCTATAGTTCACATAATAGTAAGACCCCAACCTGCTGCCTTCAGGTTGATTCCAACTCACAGGGACTCTATACAGGGCTCCGCGGCTGTAAATCTTCGCGGGAGAAGACAGCCTCATTGCTTCCCCTCAGCGGGACTGGTGGGGTTAACTGCTGGCCTTGCAGTTAGCAGCATGACTCTTAACACACTATGCCACCAGATAAATAAAATAAGAAATAAAGTGAATTCATTCTCCCTAATGTATTATTAGTAGAATTTATATTGTAGTGGTTAGAGTATTTAATTAGCAGTCAGACAAATTGGTTTGAGTCCTCACTTGGATTCTTAGTACTCCTGTGATTTGGGACACATTTTTTCACCTTTCTATGGAGGAGCCCTGGAGTGCATTGGTTTCAAGTTGGTTTGCTAACTTTTGGGTCAGCGGTTCGAAACCACCAACTCCTCCACAGGAGAAAGATGAGGCTTTCTACTCCCTTAAAGAGTTTACAGTCTCAGAACCCACAGGGACAGTTCTACCTTGCCTTATAGGGTCGTTGTGAGCAGGAATCCACCCGATGGCATTGTGTTTGATTTTGGTTTGGTATGAAGCTTCAGTCTCATTTATAACACGGAGATACTAAAGTCTCTATCAAGGTTCTTGACTTAAATGGTGTAAGCATGTGATGTGTTGGGAACAGCTCTTGAGAAGCGTTGTGGTGTGGAGCCCTTTGCAGTACACAATGTAGTTTTTGGTTTTCTGGTTCCTGAGAGCAGGACCACACAGGAGGCCAGTGAATAGGGGACCGGGGACCCACCCCAATAAGAGGGAGCACCTGGGAGCTGAGGTTGACTATCAGGAGGTTGTGTGTTGAAACCAGGAAAGGTCTTGGAGGATGGAGGCTCACTGGAGCTTGCAGGTAGGAGAGAGCTGCTCTCAGAAGGGTGAGTCTGGAAGGAGAAGTCCGTTCTCTAGGGACGTAGAAGCTTCTTCTACATTAAATATGGCCCTTTCTAAGTTTTTCCATTGAATTATGGGCCTAAGAAATAAAGAAGGGACTACTGCCTTCCCCCACTTACGGACTTGGCTTTGAGCTATGAGATGAGAGAGAAAGGGCTGAGTGGAGCAGCTGCCCTTGGGCCTGACCAGGGAGGAGGAGCTAAGATTTCCCTGGTCTGGGTTGATATTGCAGAAATACTTGAGAGGTCTTGGTTGCTATAGCCTTATGTTTGTTAAGTAATGGATTCGGAAGAACTGTTAATACTCTGAAATTCATCTGGGTGAATACAGAGACCACTTAAAACCACTTCTGAAAATCAAGGTTTCTCTCCCTTTCATATTTTGGTTAAGGCATTTAACTTTGCTGGTCCTCCGTTTTCTCACTAATAAAGTGGGATTAGTCTTTAATTTCATTCCATCTCTTCACAAGATTGCTCCCTACCCTCTGCCATCAGATCAATTTCGATTCATAAAACCAAACTCACTGCCATTGATCGATTCTGACTTAGCGACCCTGTAGGCCAGAGCAGGACTTGCCCCTACGCGTGTCTGAGACTTTGCCTTTGCAGGTGTAGGTAGCCTCATCTGCTCCCACTGACTGGCTGGTGGGTTCAAACTCTTGACCTCTGGTTCTGTAGCTCAGTGTGTAATCCAGTACCCCACCAGAGCTCCTTGGATTTAGATTCATAGCGTCCTGAATAGCGTCCCTGGAGCAGAAAGCATCTTCCTTTCCCTCCCTCACCTGGCAGCATGAAATGAGAATTACATTTACACATTGTCTTATTTTCACAAGCTTCTTCATTTTTAAGTGTTTTATGTTGCTCTCTTCTTGTTGGTCTGTCTCTGGTGATTGTCTTGTACTGTGGGAGCCAATTCCAACTCATATGACCCCATAGGACAGAGCTGAACAGCCTCATAGGGTTTCCAAGGCTGTAGACTGTATGCAAAGAAGTGCGGTCGGCTCAGTGTTGGGCTGGCAGTTCAAATCCACTAGAGAGATGAACCTGTCTGCCTCAGAGAAGGTGTACATCCCTAGACCCTAATGGAATGGTTCTACCCGGAACGCCTGAGTTGGAATTGATTTGAGGGCACTGGGTTAGTCTTTGTAGAAAGAGATGACCCTTCTTTCTCCAGAGCAAGCTGATGGGTTTGAACTGCTGGCCCTCTGGGTACCAGTCAAACTCTCAACCACTACACCATCAGGGCTCCTTGTCCGTTAACCTCCAATAAAGATTGCCCTTCTTATTTAAAGAGCTGTCGATTTTAGTTTACAAACCAGCATAACTGGAGTACGTAAATGCCATGACCAGAATCACAGTAATGGTGCTTTATGGATGTGGTCACCGTATGTTCTCTGCGGGGTCCCCCCCCCCAGCCCCCCTACCCGCCGCCAGTGCTGGCGAGAGGGAGCCAACATTCACTTCATGTGGACCATCCATTGTCTCTCATGTACTTAGCCAAACAGGTTGCTTCCACTAACAGGAGAGACTACTGATTGGGTCTTAATTTCTTGAGTGGGTCTCTGTGGTTCTTTGCACTATACTCTTAGTATTGCCTCTGATAATATCCGTCTGATAGCTTATGCATATCTAGGGTGGCCTATAATAATGAGTATTAAAGTAGCGTGCTGCTTAGCATATGGTATGTGGTAGGTACTGAAATACTTGTGTATTTACTGAGTTCACAAAACAGTAAATTGCAATAATTTATGTAAATGTACTTTATATACTGTATAATACTCTACAAATATAAATGATTCCCCCCAAATCTTGAAGGGTGAGCTTTGCCGATTTAAAATGCTTAGAGCATAGGCTCCCACACATATTTGACCCACTGCCTCCTTTAAAGAAAAATTACTTAGTTCCCCCTTGACAATGAAAACCTTTGGCATTATGGCCCTTACTGGAGGGTAAAATGTAAGTCTCTGCTTTTGTAACCCCGGCTCTAGATTGTTCCAGTGTTGCAGCGCAGCCCTGGGCAATATCACCAAGTCTGTGAAACCTTAGTGAGAAGGTTAAAGACTAAGTCCTATATATTTCACTTCTGTAATTTCTTGCTGGGTCTTTAAAAGAGTATCCTAATCGTAAGGTTCTTTCTCTGAGACTACACCACATATGCAGTGATAATCCTTCGTGATATATTCTCAAATTGCTACACTCTTGGTTGAATTTGGAGGAACCCCGGTGGAGTGGTGGGCCATTCTGCAGGAGAAAGACGGGGCTTTCTACTCCTGTAAAGAGCGAGCGGTCTCAGAACCTCATAGGGGCGGTGGTTCTACCGCATCCTGTAGGGTCGCTCCAAGTCAGGGTCAGTTTGATGGCAGTGCGTTTTTGTTGGTGGGTTGGTTTATCGTCATGACTAGCCTGGTCTGAGTGATGTCTACAGTAATATGAACGTTCCTAGGGTTTTCCACAGGTTATTTCATGTAACTCAGGTCAGAAAAAATTTTGCATCTCCATTTTAAAAATGGGGGGCTTGAGGCAGGGAGGTGACGTGACCTGTCCAAGGCCACACGGTCAGCATTAGAGCCTGTATTTGAACCCTGGAGCCCAGCTCCTTAGTGCTGTGCTGCGGTTCAGCCTGGGCGGATACAGCACAACCAAGTTCATTATGACAAACACATTGTGGAGGTCTTGTGGGTTAATTGTGATCAACTTTTATTTGTGTGTTCCTCGTGGTGTAGTAGCAAGAACTCTGGACCAGGAGTCAGGGGACCTCAGTTTTAGTCCCCGCTGTATCACTAAATAGTGATGTGTCCTTGGGCAGTTCAAGGAACCCCTCTGGACTTCAGATTCCTCACCTGAAAAATGAGGGATTTGGAGGAAATTAGTGATTTTTCAAGCTGCAGTTAAAAGGTGCTCAGAAGACTGTGGCCTCCCCCGCTCCCGCCTACTTGCATTGTTTTTCTTCTTTTTCTGTTTGTGATGTTTGTCTGCCAGCCTGAGACCTCCTAAACCAAGAATGCCTAAACTTAAGTCATCAGTCCCCAAGATAATGACAGCATAAGTCCCCTGAGCACTGTAAAGATAGCTCCTCACTACGTCCTTCGTTGCTGTAGTATGTTAGAAGGAGCCCTGGTGGCATTGTGGCTACTAGCCGATAGCCTGCTAGCTGATCGGTCAGCAGTTAGAAAACATGGCTGTCTACTCCCGTAAACAGTTGCAGTCTCAGAAGCCCACAGGGGCCAGTTCTACCCTGCCCTCAGATAGCTCGGATGGGAATCAACCCAGCAGAAGTGAGTGAGGGAATGAATAGTTGGGTGTCTTTTACAGAGGAAGAAACTAAGGTGCTAAAATTTTAGCAAGTTGGGGAGTTTTGGTTAAAATACTGAACTAGTTAGACTGAGTATTCAGCTTATCAGTTACCTGAGATCAAAATCTGTTTTGTTTTTTATTAGGTGGGTGACTTAGTGCCACCATTTTTTGTTCATTGTGAGAGAGGAAAGTGTGTGATGATAGGTGTAAGACCCTTATAAACACTGGGATGTTTATACAGAAGTCATCTAGTTTTTCTCTGTCTATAATAAATCTCCCAATGCCTTTTCTGTTTCAAGTCACTTAGACTATGTCTAAACCGCATCAGATGTTTTATTAACTTGCGGATCTTTATTGCAGGATTTTTTTTTTTTTTTAAGGTTTATGATTTTTAGACTGTGATTTTAAGCTGGGATAGAATCTTGGCCTATAAGAAACCTTGGGTGAATTTGCCTTCTCCCCTGTTTTTTTTTTTTTTTCTCTTTTGAACAGCCTTGTGAAGTGCCCTTACCTCTTACCACTAGGAGCATATTTGACTCGAGGATTTTGCACATATGTAGAACATTACAAATAACTACTAACTCAATTATGTTTTATGTAAAAGCAATAGTGTTGTAATATTTTAAAAATAAGCTTTGTCAGGGACTGGATAGTGTGCTTTACAATGATCTCGTACGAACATCTGCAGTGAACTTTGGAGACCATTTTTGCAAAGAACGAAGCTTTTTATTGATTGATTGCATTTTATTTAAATTTAGTATTTGCATAAGAGACTATAAAAGCACACACAATAGAAAAACCTACATTAAATTGAGGCTGACAAAGACATTTAAGACAGTACAATTTCGTGTGCCTCTGAGCAGTGTGTCCCTGAGCTCCTGGCTCTCTTACCTAAAGAGCATGTGTCAGTGTGCGGTTTACAACTGCCCGCCCGCCCTCTTGTCCGTGGGGAGGGGAGAGCGTGTCTGCACAGTTCGGGAGTGCTCTGGCATCCTTTAACGTGTGACGTGGATTTCGGTGTTTGAGTGCCCATTATGTAAGTTGTCCCTGACAGAGAAATGGGGTTTGAGAGATTTTTTTCTCATTATCACCAGACTCTAGATGGATCAATCGTGTATCTAAACAAAAACCCTGTGCCCCGAGTGGACTTTCAGCTTTCGGCCTCTCGCAGCCTGCTGTCACAAAGCTGCTGCGGGCTTTTGTCTCCACCTCATTGTCTCATACAAGGGCCTTCAGAAAGTGTGGGAAAATTCCACCATTAGTGTTTAATTATGTTTTCCCCTGAACGTTTTGTACCCCTCTCCTAATTGTCTCAAACTTAACGTAGTTGAAACTAAGCTCCTGTTTTTGGTTTTTCCATTTTTTTCCTGTTTTTTCCTCCTTCCCCTCTCTTCCTGCCTGATCTCAATCCCTGGCACTGTCCCATCCGTGGCTCAGGGCCCCGGTGTTGGAGTCCCTGGCTGCTTGTCTGTCACAGTCCATGTCCCGGCTGTCACAAGTCTGCTCTATTGTGGGATTCATCTCACAGTGACCCCTGGTGACAGTGTCATCTCTATGGTGGGGGGAGGTCTTTCTTCCACCAAGCCACTGGGTGGGCTTGAACTGTGAACCTTTGGGTTAGTCACCAGGGCTCCATGAGTCAGTTCTACCTTCAAAATACATTTTCAGAACTCTGGCCACTTCTTGTCTCTGCTAATTCAAGTTACAGTATCTCTTGTCTAGACAGGTTTCAGTCACTTCTTAAACGAACAAGCTTGTTGGACCCTGTACTTCTTTACAGTTTGTTCTCAGCTGCCAGAGCTTTCTTTTAAAAATCCAAAACTTCATCAATCGTGTCCGGAAGGTGAGCATCATAGAATGCCAGTTTAATAGAACAAAGTATTCTTGCATTAGGGGAGTACTTGAGTGGAGGCCCATACAATTGATGAAGTCAAAGTGGGTGAATAAGAAAATGTGGTGAAGAAAGCTGATGGTGCCCAGCTATCAAAAGATACAGTGTCTGGGGTCTTAAAGGTAAACAAGCGGCCATCTAGCTCAGAAGCAACAAAGCCCACGTGGAAGAAGCACACCAGCCTGCGTGATCATGAGGTGCCGAAGGGATCAGTTATCAGGTATCAAAAGAACAAAAAATCATATCATTGTGTGCTCACCTCCCTGATATGATCGCTGAAGACAAATGGGTGAATAAGCAAATGTGGCGAAGAAAGCTGATGGTGCCCGGCTATCAAAAGATATAGCATCTGGGGTCTTAAAGGCTTGAAGGTAAACAAGCGGTCATCTAGCTCAGAAGCAACAAAACCCACATGGAAGAAGCATACCAGCCTGTGCGATCATGAGATGTCGAAGGGATCAGGTATCAGGCATCATCAGAACAAAAAATCATATCATTGTGAATGAGGGGGGTGAGCGTGCAGAGTGGAGACCCAAAGCCCATTTGTAGGCCACTGGACAATTTACAGAAGGGTGTCAGGGAGGAGACAAGCCAGTCAGGGTGCGATGTAGCAACAATGAAACATACATCTTACTTCTATTTCCTAAATGCTCCCCTCCGCATCATGATCCCAATTTCACCTTACAAATCTGGCTAGACCAGAGGATATACACTGGTACAGATAGGAACTGGAAACACAGGGAATCCAGGGCCGATGATCCTTTTAGGACCAGTGGTGTGAGTGGCGATACTGGGAGGGTGGGTTGGAAAGGGGAAACCGATGACAAGGATCTACATATAACCCCCTCTCTGGGGGACGGATAACAGATAAGTGGGTGAAAGGACATGTCGGACATGGCAAGATGTGACAAAATAATAATTTATAAATTATCAAGGGTTCATGAGGGAGGGGGGAGTGGGGAAGAAGGGGAAAAATGAGGACCTGATGCCGGGGGCCTAAGTGGAGAGCAAATGTTTTGAGAATGATGAGGGCAATAAATATACAAATGTGCTAAAAAAAAAAAAGCCACAGAGTGGCAGAATAGATTTTTTTTTAAAAAAGAAGCATTGTCGTGGAGAGCAAATGTTTAGAGAATTATGAGGGTAACGAAAGTACAAGTGTGCATTACACAATTGATGTATGTATAGATTGTGATAAGAGTTGTATGAGCCCCCAATAAAATGATTTTAAAAAAAGTAAAACTTTTCAAGTCACCTCCCATGAGAAATTCTCTACTAGCTTCACATTATATTCACCTAAAATGTGATCGACAAGGGAGCCCTGGTGGTCTGGTGGGTAAGTGTTGGATTGTGATCCGAATGGTCACAAGTTGGCAGTTCAAAACCACCTCTTTGGAGAAAGACTAGGCTTTCGACTCCCCCAAACAGTTACAGTATCAGAAACCCGCAGGGGGTCGCTATGGGCCAGCATTGGCTCATGGCAGCGGGTTTGAGTTTCTGTGATCCACAGGGCGCTTATGACCTGGCTAGTCTAGCCACCTTTCGGTCCTTCCCTCCTGCTCTGCACTCACTCTCTTTGCTCACTTCATTCTCGGCACACTGCCCTCGGGATCTCCGTCCTTGCTGCTCCCTTGGCTGTCAAGTTCTCCCCAGAGTTCCTTTCTGCACTTAGTTACTAACATATTAAATGTCACCTCCAATTTGATACCAGTTTATTTAATTTCCTTCTCTAGCACTTGCCACTATCTGAAAAAATGTTTATGTGCTTGCACTTTTGCTTGTGTGATTTAGCTGCCAGTAGATCCTGAACTCTGAGAATCGTGTTTGTCTGGTCATGGTGTCCAGTAAATAGTTGTGCATGAGTAATCCACAGTGCAGATGGAGCTTTGGCTGTACATACGAGGGTGACTTGTAGTGTGGGGATTCTTTATAAGGAGAGGATAGATACAGTGGCTTTGTTTGGGAGAAGAGAGTGGAAGCCGTTAAAATAATAGCTTCTCATCTCTGTTTGAGCAAGCCCTGGTGGCTTAGTGGTTCACGCACTGGGCTGCTAACCACAAGGTCACCAGTTCAATACCAGTTGCTCTACAGGAGGAAGATGAGGCTTTCTATTCCCGTGAAGAGTTGCAGTCTAGGAAACCCAACAGGGGCAGTTCTACCTGGTCCTGTAGGGTCACTGAACCCATTCGGGTTTGCTTCCTGGTGTCTCTGGAGCCCTGGTGGGTCATACATTGAGCTGGCAAACTGCAAGGTCAGCTGCTGAGAACCACCTCTCAGGAGACAGATGAGGCTGTCTGTTTCCATAGAGACCTAGAGCGGTGCTTCTGGACCCTAGAATACAGTCCCTCGTGTAGTGGTGACCCCACAGCCACAAAACTATCTTCGTTGCTACTTCACCACTGTCACTTTGCTACTGTTAGGAATCGGGTGACCCTTGTGAAAGGGTCGTTCGACCCCCAAAGGGGTCGTGACTCACAGGTTGAGAACCGCTGACCTAGAGCCTCAGAAACCCACAGGGGCCATCTGTTCTGCCCTCCAGGGTTTGTCTAAGCTGGAACCCACCCGGTGGCCGGGATAGTAAGCATATTGATTGAGGCGAGATTAGAAAGGAAGGATTGAACTTAAATTGCTTTATTCAAAGAAAAATGGCCAGGA